AGTATTTTAGTTATTATTCTTAAAAAGTAGTGCTCGATACAAAAGTAGAGCATAAATATAATTATCCATTTAAAAATTTGCGAGTTGGAATCATATTTTTAAATAAATAATTATATATATATATATATATATATATATATATATATATAACAGTTCTCACATTGATGTGTTAACGTTATTTGAATAACCCTACACACGCACGCACACACACACACACACACATATATATATATATATATATATATATATATATATATAATAAATGGAATAGATAAATCCTAAAGAGCCACGAACAACCTACCTAGGTTTCACCTAAACGGATATATATATATATATATATATATATATATATATATATATATATATATATATATATAATTATTTAAAAAAATATGATTCCATCAGTACACAAGAGTTCTCATGTTTCAAAAACAGAAGCTAAAAACTTCAATTCAAATATAGAAATTAAATTAAATTACCTAATTCTGTTTCATCCTCAAGCGAACTTTGGAATAACAAACAAACGAACGATATCATCCGTTAAAAAAAAAAATCTTTATGTATACAAATACACATTTAACGGCGTAACAAAAGTGCCAAAAACTATCTGTCGTTGAAATAGAGCAGACGATATGCGTTGAACGGATGTCATCATTCGTTTGAAAAAAGATAACCTGACCCTACCTTGACTTAACCTCTTTTCTAAAATAACTAATTTGTTGATGCAATATTTGTCAGTGGAAATGAATATCCTACCGCCCTTTATTAAAATGAATGATTTCTCTATATCCATGTATATTTATTTTACGAATGTATATGCTTATAAATCTCCGTAAATTTCAAAATTTGTTATTCCGAATTTCGCTTGACGATGAAACAGAACTAGGTACTTTAATTTAATTTAATTTCTATATTTGAATTGAAGTTTTTAGCTTCTGTTTTTGAAACATGAGAACTCTAATGTACCGATGGAATCATATTTTTAAAAATATTTATAATATAGGCTCTACTTGTGTATCGAGCACTATTTTTAAAAAATTAAAACAAAGATACTAAAGAACTTTGGATTATTGACCTAACGGTTCTTTCCTATTTTCTATATATTTACAGACACACACACACACGTATGTATATATATATATATATATATATATATATATATATATGATAAAACAATGACACGTTCAAAGCAAGTTATTATCAATGGATTCTAATAAGAATATTATGACCTGAAATTCGTTTAGTGTATTTATCATATATATATATATATGCATATTCTAAGAATTTTGCCAATATCATTTGGTGCATGTCAGTTTTTTTGTTAAAAACATTAGCTTACATAATGGAATTTGATATGGTGTACATTTAAATATTGATATATGCATACATACCGACCGATTTTTTGTGTTTCAATATAAAATGTCTGTAAACTACTCCCATGACTCTTTGAAAAGCACTTCCGGCGTTGGTTGAATCACATGAATGGATAAATATTGACTAAAGCAATAAAAAAAAATATTCTTTTTTTTTTCTGATTGCTTTTTTTCTGATTCTATTTTTCGCCTTTCCGGCATCATTCTATTTCGATCAGAAGATTTCTTTCCTTGTCTTTCGGCTTCCCAAAATCTTTATCAATTCAAACGTTTTCTTATATATATATATATATATATATATATATATATATATATATATATATATATATATATATATAGTTTATGGTGATGAGATTTTTGGCTGAAGCTTTCGAGAATATTTTCACCCGCTTATATCTTTGTTTTATTTCTGTATTAGACTTGCCGATCAAAATCAATCAGACGACAGAGCAGTCCATTACAAATTGTGAGCGTATATTTATGAAGTGCACATTATCTATCTATCTATCTATCTATCTATTTTTTCATATCACTCCATGCAAGGCAATAAAGCCACTAAGACCCCAGGAGAGGGAGGGAGCGGCTACATAAAAATTATTAAGAAGCAAGAACAATAAAAGAACAGGGATTAAGAAAACAAAAGATAACGATTGATATTGCATTTAACTTTTTGAAGATCAAAGTTGACTCGAAAGTAAGAGGCCGGAACTTTCTGCGTTCCGGAAGCGAGAAGTGCGAGAGAGAAAACTGTTAGCATGGAAATGCGGTTAGTAGCAATAATAATATATATACAGTCTGGGAAATTCAGTATCGAAGTATGACTTCCTTCTGAGTCTACGTGCTCGCAACTGTGACTCCTACAAAGCGTTTACCCGACACTCTTACTCTCTCTATTACTCTACCTCTCTCTAACTTCCGGGTATTCACCGACAGCAGTCCAAATACACACTGGTCGAGTCCACTTGTATGAAAAAGGGGTGGACCCATAACAAGTTCACTGCTCCTATTTTCTTAAAATAAATAAGACAACGATTACAAGCTCTATAATTATTGCCAAGTGTTGTTGTGTCGCGTCATGGTATTCGAGAATCTAATCCAGTTTTTCAGATTTGTTCTAACTTTTTGTCGACTGATCACGTGAGCAACGACAAAGTTTTAGAGAAAATGGAAACAAAAGGACACTTAACATTGAGAAGAGGATCTTTGTTTTAAAATTTTGTCAAGAATCAATCAAGGTGATTAAAAAAAGAAGAGCTTGCAAACTTGAGTAAGTGATGTGGCGTATTTTCTACAAAACTAATCAACCGGAAACTCTTCTGGGGTAACAGCACCGAAAGTAGAAAGAAAGAGAAAACCCTGAGATCTTCATCGGGTGTATTTGCCCTAAAAGTGCCTTTTCCTTCTTTTTCCACGTCATATCGACAACAGAAATGTGGTTCAACAGAATGATGCCTAGAATACCATGGACTGAACATGTGAGCAACGACAAAGTTTTAGAGAAAATGGAAACAAAAAGAGCACTTATACTTCATATCAGGAAGTAAGGAGTTGAAATTTTTAAGTTACGTATTGAAGAAAGACGACTCGGAAAATTTGATACTCATAGAACCAATTGAAGCCAAGAGGAAGAGATGAAAACAGCGCATAACCTGCTTAGAGAGTTTGATTAAATAAATGACAAAACAGGATTTAGGAAGGGTAACAGAAAAATAAAATTTATTAAAAGTTACAAAGAACAGGAAATTATGGCTAGTCATAATCGCCAACGTCCTGAAGGGAAATGGCCCAAATTCATTAAGAGCTACAAAAGACAGAAAATTGTGGAGTCATGATTGCGTGTCCTGATGGGACGCGCAACATATAAGAAATTCGGATCAGAAATTGTGGAATCCTTTTGAAAACTCTAATTTTTGTCTAGAAATGGTCACTTTATTTACACAGATCAATAAAACTGTAGCCTAAATAGGAAAAAAAAAGTATTATTACCCATAACAATATTTTTTAATATTATCTCTTTACAGGTCAATACACTCAATACATTCGTGTATATTAATCATATAGATTAAACATTATGAAATTAGTAGCTCGGCGTGGTGTAATGGTTAGCAAGCTAGAATAATTACAACTGAGTGGTATATTCGTTTTTCACTGGGAAACCCCATGATTTCGGCCTTGTGCCACATCTAAGCTCCGCTTAGAAAATCATCATTATACAGCGAAGTTTTCAGATCTGAATCCAATGAAATACAAAAATCAAAAGAACCAGCAAATCAATCATATTCTTTTATAACAAAACCAAGTACCGTCTAGAACAGTCGTGCCGGTGAGAATTTTTAACTTACCAATAAGCGTGCCGGTTTAAATAAACGTTAAGCTTGACGCAGCATGATGAAAATAATTGTGAGTCCTCACACGTTTTTTTTTTTCTGGTAAGCCAAACTTCTTTATCATTTTTTTTTTTTTTGCTTTTTTTTTTTAACGATGGCAGGCAACTTGTTTTATTGGTCAAGGTCTCACGCTTCTTACCACTCTCGGACTTTGAGCAGAGCTTCTACCATTTTGCTGTTGATGCCACTGCTGCAGCTCAAGAAAAGAATGAGTCAGGCACGGCATGCCGCTCGTTCACCAAAAATGAATTAAAAATCAGGATGAAGCTAGAAAGGCTACAGATTGAGGAGGAAACCACCACTGCCATAGCTGAAGCAGAATACTTAGCAGACAGACAAAGCCACCAAAAACCTCAAACTCTGGGGCCCCAGAAGTCTTGTAATATGGAACGGCACACGTGAGCAACGAAGAAGTTTGAAGAAAAGCGGAAACAAAAATAAAACTTATACTTAAGATAAAGAAGACAGTTGAAATTTCTGGAACACATAATGAGAAAAAAAGGTTTGTAAAATTTGACACTCACAAGACATACTGAACTGAAGGCAATAGAAGGAAAGGTAAAAAAAATCATTTTAACCTACCTAAGTTATTCTTATGGTCCAGGTTAGGACCAAGGAAGAACAACACGAACACAAGAGTAGAAATAACGAAGGTATATTACACGAAATAATAATACAAGATGTGGAAGGTGTTAGTATGACTGTCAGTCTAGTTTGGAGTAAACTACTATCGGCTCGACTCGATTCGGTATCTAGCCACCCCCACGATGGTTGCATATGGCACAAGGCCGAGTTTAACGTGGGTTTCCCGAGCCCGTAGACCCGGCCAAAAAATGCCCGTAGAACCCGTATAAACGGGATCGGGTTGGTCAACCCCCCCGAACGAGACTCTGCCCTTCGGCGGAGCCTCGTCCGGGTTCCTCTCCGCTCAGAGGCAGAAAGTTCGACCGTCAAGCCGAGAAGCTCGGCTTCGTTCATCCCTCTCTCTTGAGACTCGTAGTATACATAGTGTTAGGAAGAGTTCATTCTGTAGTTATAGGTAAGGACCCATGACAGTTATGTAAATGGGTGTGGTCGAACCTGGATAATAAATGGACAAACGTTGTTTGGCACTACAATAGGTAGAAAGTTATGGAGTGCCATGATCGCCTACATGCTAAAAATACACGGTACATAAAAGAATAAAAATCATTTTAAAACGTCAATTTCTTTGCTTAACTTATTATTATAATTTTTTCAGATCGCCAACACAAATGGAACGGATGGTGTGCTCAGCGAAATGGACAATATACGAATCGAAGAAGTTATTCAGCATTTTGCTTCTGTTCCAACTTCTGCAGAAATGCCTCCAATACATCCTCCCAGTTGTAGAAAGCATGACTTGTACACCGATGTGTCTGTCTTCACTGATATAGATGAGCATGTCATCAAGGTAAGCCCTGCACTAATAATCAATCTGGTGCAGATTTTTCAAACTGTGGGTCCCGGCCCTTCAATGAGTCGCGAGATAAATAAAATGGGTCGCAACAAAAAAAAATACGCAAATGAGAGCAAAGTGCAGAATATAAACAGCTCTAAATATTGCACAGCACTCATAAATCATCTCTAACTTTTCACCAAGGTAATCTCGTATTATATATATATATATATATATATATATATATATATAGTCAGCTTTTAGAGTTTATGTATCCTGTTCGTCAAACACTTTGCGGATCATTTATTTTTATGTCGGAATCTCTTTTAAATTTGTTTTTCTAAAATTAATAATTTTCTATTCTTACAAATAGATAATACAAATAGATACATGCAATTCCAAAATGTGTGGATCATACGAAGTGCACATATAAATTGTTAATGCTAAATAAATGAACCTAGTGAGCAGAGTTTGTTTTTGATTTATTGCATGTAGGTATAATGGGTCACAATGCAAAATATGGTTCTTGATGTGGCTTGCAGTAAAGAAGTCGAAAAACGCTGATGCTGTGAACAAAAAAAATTGCTCTTTATATACTACTGTAAACTATTTTAAATTATTAACCAATTACTTAAAATTATAGTAAAATAAATCAACAGGTGAATTATAATATTCTGTATTTACATTTGGTATCTTAGTCAAGTGCTATGCGTAATACACGCTTGGGCGATTTCTGACGAGACGGAAGAATTCCCGCAGTAGGCTGCCGTTTCTTTCTGCGGCAGATTGGTTGCCAACTAAGGCTAGAGGATTGAGTCCTGCTATTCAATCCCCTAGCTTGGCGGAGAAAAATTTTGTATCTATTCACAGTACATGTACACTGTAATTACTAAGAAATACACATTTTTGCCATAAATTTTTAATTGTACCTTTTTTTCCATATGTATTTTTTGCAAATTTTATTTATTCCCTATGAAAATTAAATGATGACATTTTTGTTGTGGATGAGGTCCCTTTGTCTTCTAGAAAACATATTTTTAAACCTAGTCCGCCACTGCATGTCATACTGATACTTTATTATAGTCACATTTTAATCGATTTGTTATGTCTGTCATTAATTAAAACGAAGCAATGTAAAAATATCAGTAAATATCGAGACTACGATTAAATTGTTTTATTCTATAATAATTTCTATAATTAATTCCTTTCATTGAGAAATATGTGAATAGAATTTAATTATTTTTCTTAATGCCTGAAAGATATTTATCGATTAAAAGGTCTTTATTCAACATTAAAACGTTTACATTCAACATTAATTTAATAAAAATAACTTTGTTTCATCATTTTCATGTGATCTTTCTATATCAAAGGTGGCAGAAACAGATCAAGGCTCCTACACTGAATTGATTCGTCAACTCACAGAGTCATGTATTGGAGATTTAGAAAAAGCAAGGTAAATACTCGATAACCAATAAAACTGTATTTCTATAAAATGTTAAGACAATATCAGCTGTAGTCACTTCTTTAGTCATTTACTAATGCCGCAAGAATGAGGCACCCAATGAGGATGGAATTCATTCTCTTTTCTATTTGCCGTGTCCCTTCAGTACGTAGGCGATCATGGTTCTCCAAAATTTCCCGTCTTTTGTAGATCTTAATTTTTTTGTCTTTTGTATTTCTCCTAAAATTTCTTCTGCCATTTATTTACATAAACTCACGAAATTATGCGTTGTTTTCGTTGTCTCTCTGTCCTGTGAGTATAAGATTTTCCAAGCCCTCTTTCCTCATTATGTGACCTAGAAATTTAAACTGTCTAGTCCTAATGTTAAAACTCACCACTAAGCCGTAATTGAGATACACTTACTAATCATTGCACCATGTCGAAATGCCAATTGATGCATATGAATGTAACCGTGTGGATTGTAGTCATTGTTTCTTCTCCTATAATTCGTGTTCGATCACGGCTCTCCACAACTTCCCATCCTTTAAGGTCGTCTGGTAAGTTACTATCTTTTTTCCTCTCCTTCTTCTTGCCTTCGATATATTCTGTGAGTTTCAAATTCTCCTATCCTTCTTTTCTACAAATTTCAACTGCCTCTTTAGGGATTCTATAAATTATATTTTTGTTGCCATTTTCTTTAAAAATTCCTTGTTGCATAAATGTTCCATCCATGGCATTCTCAGCATCTATGTTGTCTCAAGTCTTCTCTTCATCTGCAAGGAAATTCTCCCGCATTTACAAGGGTGGGCTAAAAAGTTCATTCGCTGACTATGTAAGAGTGATGCTAGAGCTGTGAAATCTTGTATGCATTCATTTTAACTCTTCTTATTAATAACTGAAGTGTTTATGTCTAACTGTTCAAAGAAGACTGGTCATCATGTTGGTCAAAAAAGTTATCAACACCAGTCATTATCATTGCAATACTTGTTCCCAGTCAAGTGTTTTTTTTTGTTTTTTGTTTTTTTTTTCATGTTGGTGAACAAACAACAGTCTAATCAAGAGAATCGGGACGGTGATTAACCAATTGAAAGTCAAAGTCATGTACAACAGCCTTTAAAACCAAGGTCTTGTGTGCTGGAACTTTGTCCAAATAAAACAAGACTCCTTTCTCTAGTTTTCCTGTGCATTTGGTCTAGTTAAACTTTCTTAACTGCCTCAGCAAGTTGGCATAGTATTTTCCATTGATCGTGTGAACATTTTAAATCAATAAATACAATGCATCCCATTGTATGCAATACATATAATTTACATCCCAAAAAACAAGCCATCTCCTTCCCTACAGATGAAACAACTTTGGTCTTCTTCAGAGCAGGTGAGGAAAGGGGTTTCCACTGCATGGACATCCGCATCCTGGGTATGACGATAAACTACGTCCGCGTCCTCGGTATGACGATAAACTACGTCCAACAACAAGGCTTCAGATAATGTTTTCGGAAAAATAATGTTGCCAGCTATACGTTTTTTGGAAAAAATAATGTTGCCAGCTATACGTTTTTGAAACAATGTTGCCAGCTATACGTTTTTTGGGGAAAAAATAATGTTGCCAGCTATGCGTTTTTTGAAACAATAATGTTGCCAGCTATACGTTTTTTGGAAAAAAATAATGTTGCCAGCTATGTGTTTTTGAAAAAAAATAATGTTGCCAGCTGTATGTTTGATAGTACTGTATATTTAATATGTGTGTGTATGTGTGTATATATATATATATATATATATATATATATATATATGCATACACACACACACACATATATATATATATATATGTGTGTGTGTGTGTGTGTGTATATATATATATATATATATATATATATATATATATATATATACCTTAATTTGGCATTAAATGACCCACAGTGGTTGATATGCCATAAAACCCAACCGGCCGCCACTGCATGGATTGTTGCTTTGTTTTTGGCTCAAAGGGATGAACCTAACACTCATATTGGTTTAGGGAACGTTCACAGAAATCAGCTGGAACAGTTGGATCTGCCGAAACGATTTCACGTAGTGTAATCAGCCTGTGTGCTTTTGATCAGGTGTCTGAGAACGTGGAACCCACCGAGCAGAAACCTTCGTCATGCCAAGTTCATTGTGCAGAATTTTCTCAACTCTCCCACGGGATATGCTCATAGCATGGGCTGTCTGATTTATAGCCAGCCGCCTGTCAACTATTACCATTTGATGAACACTATCAATGTTTTCCTTAGTGGAAGCAGTCGCAGGACTTTCAGATCATGGGTCACCTTCAAAACTCTCCCGTACCCTGCCCACTTTTGCACTGTTGATAAAGCCGGAGAGTCATCTCCTAATATAGTAACCGTGTCAGCATTATAGTCCTGCTAACCATTGTTTCACGGCGAGACTTTCCGATAGATCTGTCCTCATCTTGGCTACCTCTGATACAAGCTCAAAATAGTGGACTACGTGGTGAGCATGAAGTCAGTATTGTACAGGGTACATTAGAAATTCTTCCACGTATAGCTCCCAGAAATACCTCCCACATAATGGTTAAACATTAGCGCCAATGGTGTTTTCATCTCGCTAATGTTTAGCTAATTACGTGGGCGTTATTTCTGGGAGGTATATGTGGAAGGTATTTCTGCCACACCCTGTATTAATATTCTGTGAGAGTGGATTGTTAACCATTATTTAACTTCTAAATATATTACGGATAAAGAACTAAATCGATTTCTTCTTGGAGAAATGGTGTTCCTTTCATTGAAGCTCATATTCTTGTAGAAAATTAACGACTGATGTTTAAAAAATATAGGAGAGGTCCCATTAAACTATAGTGATGGTCACCTCCAACAGAATGACTATGGTTAGCAAATGATAACTATAAAAAGACAATACAGCCTTGTTAACTGTGGAGGAATGGTAGGAACCCTATTTTTATCATTTCTAAATATTATGGCGTCCACTCAGACACGTATGTTCAGATGTCTACATTCCTCGTTAAAATCATTTCGATATAAATCGATCGAAAGTGAGAGTAAGTTGACTTTTTCCTGATTTTATTTTTCTTTGAAAAATTCTTATCTCTTTCCGTTACCTTTTATTTTATTTTTTAATCATATTCACCCCAAGCAAGGAAATAAAGCCACTAAGACAGGAGGTGTTGCTGGGCGTGAAAGAATTAGAAAGCAGAAAACATTAGGGAAGAGCAGGAACAATAGAAGAATAAGGAAAACAGTAGATAACGATTCATATTGCATTTCAATTTTTGAATGCCAAAGCTGGGCAGAACTATTGAGCCGGAAAAGAGTTCCACATTCGAGAAGTGCGAGAAAAGAAACTGTTAGCATAGAACTTACGGTTACCTCTAGCCAATTCAATTGTGAATTGGTGAAACCTTTCAACCAATCTAGTACTGCACTTAAATTCATAGAGCCTATGTACCAGAGCGAAGACCGATATCTATTTCCACTTCAAATATAGAAAATGTGGCACAAGGCCAAAATGGGGAATGGAGAAAAGGACGGTTTTCTTCTGTCTTAACTTTAAAACTTAGCCAGCTACAAACACTGGCCCAAACATGCCACAATATTCCCGACACCAAAACAACACATTCTTACTTACCTTTTTTACTACACCCACCATAATACCTCATTGTCTCTATGAAAATCCTAACTAGTCCCCATATGTACAATTTATTGTCTGTGGTGGGAGGGGAATAAAGCAACAATTTAAAAACTAGCGCCAATGAGTAATTCCAATATAAAAACAAAACTATTTACAAGAAACAAAATAATGTTAGTAATACCCCCCCCCCCAATCCTTAAATGTGGCAGAAACATCAGTTAACTGGACGAAATCAATGCGGGATTTTAATATAAAACATTCATTCATCCCATGCACTCAATCAAACATACATTCATTCAGACACAATAACAAATATGAAAATCCCACCCGAATCGAAAGATGCCCCGCATCCACCAGAGAACTGACATCACTGATCACCTAACGAGGGAGGGGATGGGGAATTAAACAAAAACAAAAAAACAGGGAGCAGGAATAAAAGGGGCCAGTATGCATAAATAGCGAAGAGCTCTTTCGCACAATTACCATGTAAGTATTTATAGAAAAAGGAACAGCGAAGCAACTTTAAGGCGGTAGAAAAGTGACTGAAGCCAAGATGCCAGGTCAGGACCAATAATCTTGCTGATTGTCCTTTGGATTTTTATCAAGAATTTCTAAATAGATATCAGGAACACCGGACCATATGTGGCAGCAATAATCTAAGCATGGGCGAAGGGTAAACTGATAGATATGTAAGATAGATTCTGGCGAGAAGAATCGTCTAGCGTTAGACAGTAAACCAACTTTCGTAGCATCAGACCTATGAATGGATTCAATGTAGTCTTTCCACTTCGTGTCAGCCGAGAGAAGACTTTTAGACTGGGTGGATGCCTGACTAACACAGAAACCATTATCACTAAATCAACATCATACAACTTCAAAGGATATCAATAATGATAAGGAAATAACACGATTTCTTTACAGAGAAATGTTTTCCCTTAATTCAAGCTGTTATTCTTGTATTTAAAAAAAATCAATTTTAGTCAAATCATATTTTAATTGCAGCACACATAAAAATACAAGCTACTACTACTGATTAACGGCTACTATTTAAAAAAGATATTGTCATTTCTCAAAAAGAATACCATTGGTTTGTTTTCTTTGCAGTCAATATTGATATCAGACAAAATGATTTACTCTGTGAAGCAAATGTTTTCTTAAGAAAATCACGCTTTTTTTTTACTAAAATCAGAGTTATGTCACCAACTTAAACTCCCGCCTATTTTTCGTGCTATTGATCCTGTTTCAATAAAATTTCAACTGTTCCATTTTATAGACTTCTTCAGGAATGCAGTCTTCTTTTATGTGACTTATCCCTTCAGGTCATAGACAATAATGGCTCTCCACAATTCCTTCTTTTGTAGCTCTCAATAAATTTAGTCTTTTTGTTATTTCTCCTAAACCCTGTTATGTCATTCATTTACTCAAACCCGCTAGATAGGTTTATACTTTGCTTTCTTCTCTTCCTCAGTCCCGGGAATATCAAATTTTCTAATCCGTCTTTCCTCAATACGTACCCTAAAAATTTCAACTCGCTCTTCCTGATGTTAAGTATAAGTGTCATTTTTGTTTCCATTTTCTCTTAAACTTTGTCGTTGCTCACATGTTCAGTCCGTGATATTCTCAGCATCCTTCTGCTGAACCACATTTCTGCTGTTGATATGACGTGAGAGAAGAATCAAAGGCATTCTTAGGGCAAAGTCACTCGATGAAGGCTGCAGAGTTTTCTCTTTCTTTGTTCTTTTCGGTGCTGTTGTCACAGAAGAGTTTTCCGTCTGATCAGTTTTGTAGAAAATACTTCACATCTTTTTCTCAAGTTTGCAAACTCTATTTTTTTTAATTTTTAATTTTAAAACGAATCAAATAAATTTCCTTAAACAGTTCATGAATAAATTCATTTTTTTTTTTAATTTATCATTCAGAACCACAAAAGATGAATCCTTGCCTTCATATGTTGATTCTAACCTTGCTGGAAATCAAGCTTTTAAATGCAAAATAGCTATTTGTTCAAAATGGGTGTAATAAGTACCGTAAAAAAAAACTCACTAATAGATAGATAGATAGATAGATAGATATGAACAGAGTCAGATAAATAAGAACAGAATAAGATAGACTGAGATAGATATGAACAGAGATAGCTAGCTAGATAGATAGATAGATAGATAGATAGATAGATAGATAGAAAGAAAGATATGAACACAGATACATACATATGAATAGACATGATAGACAGATAGATAGATACATACATACATACATACCTACATACATACATACATATGAACAGACTGAGATAGATAGATAGATAGATAGATAGATAGATAGATAGATAGATATGAACAGAGTCAGATAAATAAGAACAGAATAAGATAGACTGAGATAGATATGAACAGAGATAGCTAGCTAGCTAGCTAGCTAGATAGATAGATAGATAGAAAGATATGAACACAGATACATACATATGAATAGACATGATAGACAGATAGATAGATACATACATACATACCTACATACATACATACATATGAACAGACTGAGATAGATAGATAGATAGATAGATAGATAGATAGATAGATAGATGAGTGAATTACGTTATGGTGCTCGTTTTGTTACAGACGGTACCCAGCTGAGCCTGCAGTCGACAAAATAAAAAAAACTCACAAAGGGAAATTAAAATATAAATTTACCCATCGCACCTGCATATATATATATATATATATATATATATATATATATATATATATATATATATATATATATTTATATATTTAAAAAGGTGCAAATATAATTTATAAGGTCTTTTAATTTTTACAAGCTTTCGTCTGTTCTTACAGACATCATCAGGTATGGAAGTAGATTTTGTTCTTGTTTTTACTTCTCAGTAATAAGAGGACAATGAAAATAAAGATGTAATCCGAAAAATGCTATGAGAAATGTGTTATTTTGGAACGTGCGGTCGCAACGCTGAGTTTGAATTTAAATTTCAAACTCACTGTTGCGACCGAAAGCTTGTAAAAAATTAAAAAGACCTTATGCAACTGGAATTTATAAACGGGGATCATATCATTCATATACAGGTTCGGGGTTGATGTATCTTATTTATATTGTTTGCGATGATGTATTCTCGCCATTTAAATCATTAACCTCTATATTTGTTTTTGTATGAATGATTCATGAATATATATATATATATATATATATATATATATATATATATATATATATATATATATATATGAGAGAGAAAGGGGAGTGAGAGCGAATGATAATCTACGCAATGATATAGATGAACACCCCCATATATATATATATATATATATATATATATATATATATGGGAGGAACGCTGGAGTAATGGATAGCGGATTGTGAAATCGGAGAGCCGAGTTCGAATTCCGGTCTATGATATTCACTTACGTACTAATACCCTTGAGAAAGGTATGAATCCTCTTCTTCTCCAAACCCTCTAGCTCTGGGTAAATAGCAGGACAGACTGGGTTCTATAGCCTTGGGTGGTTACCGGTCTAGGAGAAGGACAACTCTGAATTCAAAACCTGAGGAGGGTCGTTTGGGGACTTTGTGGCATACGATGCACCAGCTCTCTGTATTCGTGATATATGAAATTGATTGTGAATTTTCCAATAACTTCCATTTACTAACTTCAATAACTTCTATATAATAATATATATATATATATATATATATATATATATATATATATATATATATATATATATATTATAACATTCAATAACTTCTATGATGATGGATGACGCTATGTGACGTAACCTACACATTACTTCTGTATCTAAATACAGGTTACCAAATACAAATTACCAAACTTGCCTTTGTAAAGTTCTTTATGGAACGAAATACTTTGGCATAAAATGTTTTTCCTTTGTCTTTTTATTCATATTATCTTTTTACATATATTTTATCAACATTTGATGTTTTTTACCCATATATATACGTGTGTGCGTGTGTATGTGTATTTTGTGCGTGTGGTAAAATTAAGATTGTATTGCAATGGTCAGCTGACATTATTTTCTTTATGATTTCTAGGTCTATCTATCGTTGGATCACTGTAATGGATCTTAATGTGATGAATTTTAAGGAAATTGTGGACGAAGACACGCCACATGGTTTACTGAGGGGAATTAAATTGGGGACGGAGACTTACCACGTCCTCTTCATGCGATTATGCAGGTAAGATTGAATTCTCTATTTCTATTTTTATTTCTATTCATTAGGGTTTTTGAACGACATTTAGATTTTAAGAAGAAAAAATGTTTCCTGAAATTTTTATTGATATTCGCCCTGATAACTTCGAACATAATATGGCTACCTGTTTAGGTCTGCCATAGTGCGAGTATTTAAATTCTTTAGAAACGGGTTCTTTTACAGTCCAAATATTACACCCCAAGAAACGGTTCTCTCTTTTATGCGAGCCAATTTTGTGTCAATGAAATTAGGAACTGGTTCTCCTTTCTTTTACAAGCCAATTTTTTTTTTTTTTTTTGAAATTAGGAATCGGTTCTCCGCTTTTCTTACGAGATAATTTTTGGCTATGAAATTAGGAACCGGTTTTCTCTTCTTTTACAAGCCAATCTTTTTGTCTACAAAATTTACCTTTTACCTCCAAACTATTTGTTAGCAGAATAAAAATTCATTTTTTTTCTTCGATTACATTCTAAAGTTTTTGCCTATAAAGTTAGGAACCGGATATCTCCCTCTTTTTCTTTTTTCTTTTTTTTTCAAGCCAATTCTTCACCCTATGAAATTCGAAACCAGTCCTCTCTTTTTACACCCAAAATTGTCTGTCTGTGAAGTTGGGAACTGGTTCTATATCCTTTTTATTTTAACATCCCTAAGTTTTTGGTAGAGGAATATAAATGCCAAAGAAATTTAAGAACCTGTTCTGCTAATTTTATTAAATTTAGCGCACAACGGTCGAAATGATAACAGCAACAAAGATGCAGTCAATAGTTCAAATGTAAATAATTTAAATTTTCAAATAATGGGTTCAGTTCGAAATTTCCTGTAGGTTACATGGATCAACAAATACCTGATGAAGGCCAGTGGATACAGCAGTCGAAATGTTAAAATGAGGACAATATTCCGCACATAAATAATCAAATAAAAGGCTCCAATTAGACAATGCCTCAAAGTAACCTGGATTGAATTAGTCCACGAATTTTTACATTTCTTCTTTTACATGACGTATCCCTACAGGGCATACACAATAATGGCTCTCCACAATTCCCTGTCTTTTGTAGCTCTTAATAAATTTAGTCCTTTTGTTATTTCTCCTAAACCCTGTTATGTCATTCATTTACTCAAGCCCGCTAGATTGGACAGAACTTTGCTTTCCTCTCTTCCTCAGTCCTGGGAATATCAAATTTTCTAATCCGTCTTTCCTCAATACGTACCCTAAAAATTTCAACTCGCTCTTCCTGATGTTAAGTATAAGTGTCATTTTTGTTCCCATTTTCTCTTAAGCTTTGTCGTTGCTCACATGTTCAGTCCATGATATTCTCAGCATCCTTCTGTTGAACCACATTTCTGCTGTTGATATGACGTGAGAGAAGAATCAAAGGCATTCTTAAGGCAAAGTCACTCGATGAAGGCTGCAGAGTTTTCTCTTTCTTTGTTCTTTTCGGTGCTGTTGTCAATTTCTATTTCGAACAAATATGGCTTCCGTTTCGTCAGGTCTACTGCCGATGTGTTAACAGCCATCACTTGAATTTGTCTATCAAGCCTCAAGTAAGAATGACGAAGGTCGGGCTGTGGCTTTAGATATCTCAGAAATGTTCGACAGGGTTTGGTATGATGGCCTTCTCCACAAGCTACGGACGAATATTTGGTTTAATTCAATCGTTCCGAACAAATCGTGTAATGAATGTCGTGTTGGACGGGTACGCTTCCAGATCATTTCATACTAACGCAGGGTCCACCAGTGCTCTATCTTTGAACCTACTCTGTTTCTGATCTTCATCAATGACCCCCCCCCTCAATGCCATCAGTTCCCAACTAGGTATTTAGACAGATGAAACAGCAATTTACTCCTGTCAGTACAGCCCCGATAAAATAAACCTGGCAACTACTCTCAAAAAGGATCTCTAATCAGTGGTTAACTGGGGCAAGAAATGCCTTGTAAAATTTAACGCTTCCAAAATAAAAATGCTTTCATTTAATCACCACAGAGCCTTTTCTGTCTGCCCTCAACATGGCTGTGTCAAGACTCGAGTAAAGCAACACTCTTTGCTTTCTTTCCACTAACATGAAGTGGAGAGACTATATTGAATCAATTGCTATGTCAACTGCTAGGAAGGTTGGTTCACTGTGTCGTGTCAGATAATTTTTCTTGTCAGAATCCATCTTGTACATTTAAAAATCTACCATTCGTCCGTGCCTTGAATATTACTGCCACATCTGGTCTGGTAGGCCGGCTATATATCTCGAGATTCTCAACAAAATCCAAAGAAGTGTCTGTAACGTAATCGGTCTTGACTTGGAATTTCGACTTCAGTCACTTTCTCACTGATATGATGCGGCTTCCTTCTGCCTTTTCTACAAGTAATTTCATAGTAACTGTTCAGATAAGCTTTTATCCTTACTACCTTAACTACATGAATTTAAGCGTACTACTAAATTGGCAACAAGATCTCACCTTTCTACTGTTAAATTACCAAGACTCAACCGTCAACTTCTATTTTTAGTGTTTCTTTTCTCGCACTTTTTGCCTGTGGAACTGCCTTCCGATTTCTTGCTTCCCTGGTAACTACAATCTACAAAAAATTAAATGCAACGTCAACTGCTATTTTCTGTCCTTTCCTCACTTCTCACTAAAGTCTTCTCATTCTCTTTCACTCCCTGTAACCACCTGCATCATAGTGGCATTGTCGCCTTGCTTGGGGTGAAACGAAAAACAAGAAAATTTAAATAATGATTGTTCATGTAATGCTTTTCAAATACCATTGCTGATTGAACCTCACCCGCAAAAACAGTTTCAAGTGGCAATGAGATGTTTTGTTTGTTCACAATTGTTTCTTTTTTTTTTTTTTTTTTTTTTTTAGTTATGCCGGTCTCCAGTGTGTCGAGATCAAAGGTCATTCAAAAAGCGTCGGTTACGAACCAGGGATGAAAATAAACCCGGAAAGTTTTCAAAATACCTGGAATGCTGTGTACATCGATGGAGACTGGCGACTCGTCCAGTGTAATTGGGGCGCAAGGTAGGAGAAATAATATATGAGATAAAAATATAGTTTTAAGGCAAGCTATATTTAGGGATAAAAGTGCTTAATATAAGTGATGACGCCTATATAAATATAAAAATTGTCACTGAGGTCAACACTGACCAGCGACAGTCTGTTTCATGCTTGAAACAGATTGTCGCCGCTCGATGTTGACCTCAACTTATATATATATATATATATATATATATATAAATAGTGTTTCATTAAGACGGATTATATATAAAAGCATACTTAAAATGAAGTAAACATACACATAAACAGGAAAAGCATGGTAAATTGAATGTTAATTTCATACAATTTATTTATATTTCTTGCGTGTATTAGTGTGTGTATTTTTTAGGTTACAATTGTTTATGTGATAAAAAGGAGAAGTCACTTCGTATCATTACACGACATATCATAGAGAAAAGTTGAACACGTGTTGCCCGTACCAAGGTTCGTGACGAAGAGATTGAATTTAAAGTCTTTAGGCAGGATGTCCGTATTCCCGACAGGAACAGTTTTTATATTTGTATTATTTTTATTTAATTTATTTAAACAAAATTTAAATATTATTGTTTTATTTTATTTATAATTTTCATTATTATTATTTTATATTTTATTTTTATTTATTTATAATAATAATGTCCCTACCTATCTAACAAGAATCGCACTAACAAGAATATCTTGCTAACAGACACGCTTTAATAAATATTAACAAATTCTCGAGAAAATACTCTTGATAGTTGTCGAATATATTAGATTGAAGTTCCCCACTCGGTACTCCATACTTTCGGCCTTGTACTACGTCTAGCCTACGTTTAGTAAAACGCTATATTAGGTTAAATGTTTTATGTACCCGTGAGTATTATATACAAGGAGTTGCTGTAAAGTTTTCAGCCCAACCAAGATCTTACAATTTTAAAAAATCTGATGCTTCACCATTTTTATACATTTTGAAAAGTAGGTTAGGTCAAGAACGTTGCAGCACTCCTGTATATAAATATTTAACACAAGAAAAAGTCAGTATATTTTTAAAAACAAACCCTCTCTCTCTATTTCTCTCTCTCTCTCTCTCTCTCTCTATATATATATATATATATATATATATATATATATATATTCAACATAGAAACAGAAAAGGGGTTAAACAAAAAAAAGACGTGATTAGTTTCAAGAACCGCTTCGATTCAACCGCGGAATCGACTGCATTCCATATCAGATGTGTCACGTCATGCTACTTATGTCCACAATGGTAGTCCTCAAGTTCGACTTGGTATTGTGGCTTTGGTAGTTAGTATTTCTTCTTGACAACACTCTAGACGTAGTCATCAAGTATATTCAGTTCAGGGCGGCTGGCAACTCTCGTGATGGATATGATATGACTGAAAATTCTGTGCCAGCCGCTCCTGGGTCAGCTCGTGTTGGAACACTTACGCTCTCCTTTGGGTCAACCTCTCAATCAAGAGCATCATCCACTGTGTAAGGGGGCCCGACGTTCACAGTTATATTGATCCTGAGGCCCTGCGGGAAGAACTGGGGTTGGCATTGCCCCTATTACTTGCAATTCCCAAGATCCTCATAGACAGACATGAACTTGGTGCTTGTTACTTGTGTGCAGGCAGCGCGGAACCACTAAAGTGTTCAATTCAAAGAGTAGAGCAGACCTAGTCATCCTTACCTGACGATTCGCTTAGGTGAAACCTTGGTAGGTTTGTCTGGCTCTCTAGGTTTAACTAACTAACTAACTCACTAACTAACTAACTAACTATATATATATATATATATATATATATATATATATATATATATATATATATATATATATATAATTATTTATTTAAAAATATGATTCCAAATCGCCACATAAGAGGTCTCGTGTTTCAAAACAAGAGCCGAAAACTTCAATATAATCCTTTAAATTAAATTGAGCTACTTTTGTATCGAGCACTATTTTTTAAAATAATAACTAAAATACTAAGGGACTTTGGATTATTTACCTAACCAGTTCCTTCCTATTTTCTATATATTTTCACACACACACACACACACATATATATATATATATATATATATATATATATATATATATATATATATAATGTGCAATTAGAAAGCAAGATGAATGCAAATGCATCTCTTGATCACGAAATAACAGATCTATGCTACAGGTTCATTTGGGAATCATCGCTCCCACCTATGGAAGGAGAAAGGTATCAAATTAGACACCAAAATACGGGTTTATAGTGCAGCCGTTTTTCCCACACTGTCTTGCGGATCAGAATCATGGACGCCATATAGGTGCCATATACATTAGCTGGATTTCTTCCACAAAAATTGTAACCGCACGATTTGTGGTTATACATTTGATGATAGTGTCCAATGCTGATTTTCTCGCAAAATTCAACATTGGTGGAATTGAGACTTTCCTGATGCAGTCGGATTGTAAGCTGGAAATTAAAAAAGCCAAACCTTACAACAATCATTGTAATATCTACAAACTTTGTCAACAATAAAAGTTAACTTTAATAACATTTCCTTTAAAAAAAAAAAAAATTAATGAATTAGAGATCGGAAATTATGACTTGTTGCATACACACCAAAAGTTCTTTTTCACTTCATACGAACTAGGATGTACATTTCATTTAAGCCCCACCCCGATACATTTCCATTACTCTTGCTTTCCCCTTTTTTGCCTGATTTTATTAATATCCAACATTCTTTTCTTTTTTTTTCTTTTTTTTTTTTTTCAGACATCTCGTTCTAAACAAAGACAAATCTCCCGAGAAAGTCAATAAACGGGATCAAATCCGATACCAATATGACGAACATTACTTCCTTACTGATCCAGATCAATTCATTCAAGAGTTCTGGCCGCATAATTCAGAATGGCAGTTAATCGAGAAGCCCATTACTCTAGGGGAATTCGAAGCAATGCCCTTCGTCCGTTCCGTGTTTTTCCATTATCAGATGACTTTTGAGCGCGTTTTCAAATCAGAGCTGGAAACTAACGCTAAGGGCGGGGTTGACATTAAGATCCGAGTGCCCGAGAAACTAGAAAATTCGCTTTTGTTCTTTTATCAATTGCGATTAGCCGACAAAGATAGACGACACGAAACTACTTATAAAGGCGATAGCTTAGAACGATTTGTATTCCAAACAATGTTTGACAATGTAGTTATCTTCAATATCCACGTTCCGACCCCAGGAAATTACTACTTCGAAATATTCGCCAATAAAATTGATGAATTAACCAAATTGACAAACGAAGCGAACACACCGATCCGGCTCAAATGTGCTAGTAAGTTCAAAATCACATGCAAACAGATGTCCGGTAAAATGCATCCACTTCCGAATTGTGCATCTGGAGAGTGGGGACCGAAGAAAGCCCTACGCCATTTTGGCATCGAGCAGATCTATCCAGACAATATGGATAGTCATGCAGCAGAGCATTTGAAAGGCGGCCTTCTGGACATATACGACCGAACTGAGATTCATTTGAATGTATCTCGCCCGTTGACATTTGTTGCTAAGCTTCGAATGAATAAAGTTGAAGACAGTATATTGGAACCCTATCTGTCGATGGTTAACGATCATGATAAAATTTCGATCTTCATCACTCTACCCCAGGCCGGCCAGTACGGCATTGACCTGTACGCAAGGACAAAAGACAGTCCCGAAACAGCACCCATTTCACACGTTTGTAAATATCTGATCAACTGTTCTGGTGTTAAAGTGCAGCGTAACTTACCCCATATTGCTACGCCCGTTTCACAGGACAAGAAAGAAAACATGTGGGGACCGACGCAACATTTTCATGACTTCAAACTACAGACGGTCTCCCATCACGAACCGAAGATCAGTGCAAGAGGTTTGAATCCGTTGACAATCAAGATGTCAGGAGCGGAAAATCTAGATTTCTCTTGCCATATGGTAAGAGAACCGAAGATTGAATGTGAGAACAGTGTGTTCATAAATCGGGATTCTGAACCCGGGTGTGTGAAGTTTGTGGTTCAGATGCCGGACTACGGGAACTATATGCTATGCATCTATGCTAAAGAGCATGAATGTCAGGACAATACTTACTTCAACGTATACAATTATATGGTTAGATATTTCTCTAAGGAATTTGCGCCTCCCGGGAATTTTTCCGCGTCCTTTCCTAGTTTAACTAAATTAGATAAATCACTACGTAAGAAAATATCTGTAAGAAAAAGCGAAAAATAATGAGTAAAAATCTGTGAAAAATTAGTGATTTTTTTTCTTTTCACTGATTTGATTTCACTGAAAGCGGACCGATAGTTAATGACTATGATATAAAACTAATTGAAATATAAGTCATACAATTATAATAAATATACGAAATTTTATAAAAAAATATTTTGAAGTAATTAGTGATAAAAAAAATGGCTATTTACATGGAAGGATGTTTTTCGACGAATGAATATTAGAAACATTGGGAAAGAAAGAGCGAAGAAGAGAGAGAGAGAGAGAGAGAGAGATAAATAAATAAATAAATAAATAAAGGTTTGAGAAGAAGTGAAGAAAGAAAAAGGATGAATGATTTTAATGAAAGACTGTTAAAAGTGCGATTGGGGTGGTAAAAAAAAAACTACTGGAGAACTGGACAATGAAACATGAATATTTTGCTTTTTACAATTTTCAAAAAATAATAATAATAATAATAATAATAATAATAATAATAATAATAATAAAAAGAAGAAGAATTGGACTTTAATGTCGATTTTATAAAATATTTTTAAAATATAAAAAAATAACTATTTATAAAAATCAATGCCCCAGTTGCAAGCAAATTAAATATTCTAATCTACATATTCACACTATTGAGAAATAAATCAATGAAAATTATGTTTATAATTTTTCTACTTTCTATCAACCAATTGAATAAGTTTCTTTAAAGAAAAAAAAAGTAAAAAAAAAAATTCGACGCCAATTATATTAATGTTTGTCTTTATATCAAACGTGAGAAATATTTTATTTAAATGTTTTTTTCCAAAGAAATTTCATAATAATATACAAGAAAACCAGAAACATATTACAGATTCTATCAATTATTCTAAGTTAAAAATCCCAAATTAAAACTTTATTTTCTTTTGTATAAACTGTAATTTTATTTCACATTTTTCCACGGTTCGAGTTAAACACAATAAAAATATATATCTATTTTTTTTTTAATATATCCCTTATATTTCAGAGTCAAGGCATTTTTATCGAGGCGTGTTTTTCCTTGGATTTTATAAATAAAATAATCTGGGGGAGCATTATTGATTTGTTTTTATTGTTGGTGATATTAAAGAAGAATTCTTATTTAACTAAAATACCTACTCACGTTTATTTTTTAGTATATTGTTTATTTTTTAGTATATTGTTTGTTTTCTTCATTATTTCACTGGTGAAAAAACATTTCCGCAAAGAGCTGAATCATTTCAAAATTAAAGCACGGATCTTGAAAAAAAAAAAAAACTCCGAGTATTTTAATTAACCTCTCTGGATAAATCCGCTTTTAAATAAATATTAATTTGCGTGTAGATAACACAGGATCGTAAATAAAAAGTTTCGATCCTATGTTTCCAAACAAGTTTTTCTTAAATGTTTCATACAATACAAAAGCTAAAAAAAAAAACAAAAAAAAAAAAAACATAATGCAAACTATTTTTCCTGAATGTGTAAATATGTAGCAATATATATGAAATAACAAGACTGTGTCTCCAAAACACTCTGCTGCTGTCGGCTGCTGAAGAAATATGTAGCTATATATAAGAAATAACAAGGCTGTCTCTCCAATACACTCTGCTGCTGTAGAAATATGTAGCTATATATAAGAAATAACAAGACTGTGTCTCCAAAACACTCTGCTGCTGTCAGTGTAGAACTGCCCTCGTAGCCGGCGCGGGATCATGAGAGTTACCGAACAATGATGTGACAGATTAAAGGGGTCTGGCAGTATCAGCTTTGCTGCGTAAAGTGTGTCTAGAAGGAATTTTATTTGAGGGCATTATTTTTCTGGATGGAGCAGGTGGATCTTGCCTTCTCATATAGTCATTCTCATGGTCTAGTCTTTTTTAATCATTGATTAAAAACACCAGACCATGAAGTGCCGGATTAAAGATATCGGACTGTGTTTTCTTACGTAAAAGGCTTCTAAGAGGAATTTTATCTGGGTGTATTTTTTTTCGGTATGGTGCAGGTGGATCTTGTATCTTCATATAATCTTGTTTTAATCCATTATTGTTTTAGGTCATAAGCTGTTATGTGATTTCTAGTATTTAATATATACATATATTTTCTGAAATTCCAGGATCTCTTTTGTTTCAATCTCCACTTCGAGTCTAGGTATGTTGTACAACCGGCATCCATCTCTAAGAGGTACGGTTGGTGTGTTTCAGTCTAGTGCTGGTGCTTGTGGTCAGTTTTCGAGCCCAGATAAAATCCAGGATTTCATACGCTGATTTTTTCGGAACCTACATTTTTCGTATTCAGAAAATGGGAACAACTCCAGATTTTCCCACCTGGACAAATTAAGCTAAATAAATGCCAGAATATCATTTTGGTTACAAATGTACATTACCCACTCAGAATACCATCACATTGAACGCGGCATTATATTTCAATGTTTTTTTTTGTTTTTTGTTTTTTTTTTAATTAATAAAATGAGCAAATGAGACATATATGAAGATGCACTTAATCTGAAGAGGAATCTCTTTTTTTTAAATAAATGTTCTTCATCTCTTGCGATAGAATGTAATTCATCATCATATTTTTTTTTGTTTTAATCACTTAAGCATAGTTGTAACATTTACAGCCTATTAATATTTACAACTTTGAATGTCTTTCAATTGCGACAATTTCTTTTTTTAAGAATTTAGAAAAATTTAGGAAAGATACAACTTTGATGTTTGGGCACCTCGAGGTGGTGTAATGGTTAGCAAGCTTGTCTCGCTAGAACAATTACGGCTGTGTAGTGAGTTCGATCCTCACTGGGTGCCCCTTACTTTCGGCCTTGTGCCGCATCCAAGCTACGCTTGGAAAATCACTAGAACTTTGATGTTTTTTTCATTTCTATCCAAGCATTGAACATTTTGGTTCATTCCCAGAATTTAGCCAAATTTAATAAACAAGTTTAATGTTTTCTTCATTCCGGACTAAGCACGAAACATTCTGGTACATTCTATGATTTCAAATATACGTTTCCTAAGAGGATTGTGGAGTAATGGATAGCGGTTCGGATTGAGGAATCGGAGAGCCGAGTTCGAATTCTTAGTCGAATCCATTACATTCACTTACGTGCTACTACCCTTAGGAAAGGTATGAATCCTCTTCTTCTTCACCCCCCAACTATGGGTAAATAGCAGGGAAGACCGAGTTCTATAGATAGCCTTGGATGGCAACTGGTCTACCGCAGAAAGAAATAGCAACCTACTGAGGGGAAAAAATCTGTCCCGTCAGTCATGTATCGAAAGAGACATGATCACCTAAGCATGTATTACGCATGGCACATAATTGACTGAAGCCTTAAAGGATAAAGTATTGAGCAGACAAAAAAATGCAAGAAGCAGTGGAGAGCCATAATCGCCATGAAGACATGACAGAGATACACAAAGTGTAAAATTTCCAAACGACATCTTTCATACCTTAATCGCTCTCGTAATCATCTGGGCTGACATTCTTGGCTGACATATAATAGAAAGACTATATTGGATCCATTGCTTAGCTCACTGCTAAGAAAATTGGTTCGCTGTGTCATGGTTGACAATTTTCTCTCCATAATCTATCTCACATATCTATAAGTCTACCAATCACCCATACTTAGAACATTGCAGCCACATATGCACCTGGTATATATCTAGAAATTCTTGATAAAATCCAAAAAATAATCAGCAATATTATTGGTCCTGACCTGGCGTCTCGGGTTCAATCACTTTCCTTCAATTGTAAAGTTGCTTTCCTGTGCCTTTTGTATAAATACTTTTATGGTATTTGTTCGGCTGAGCTCTTTCCTATGGTACGTAGACGTTATGAATTTAAGCGGAGTACTAGATTAGCAACTTAGTCTCATCAAATTACAGTTGAATTGGCTAGATGTAACCGTAAGTTCTATGCTAGCAGTGTCTTCTCTCGCACTTCTCTGTTGTTGAACTCTCTTCCAACTTCTTGCTTTCCAATTAACTTGGACCTTCAAAAATTTAAATCCAACGCCAATCGTTATTTACTGTCTTCCTGATTACTCTTCTATTGTTTTCACACCTTAGTAATGTTTCTGTTTTTCTATTCTATCACTGTTATGGGACCTTACCCATAATAACATAATGGACTATTCCATACGTAATAAATACTGCGCCTCAAGAGGAAGCAGGGAGTTCAGTCTGAAGTCTGGAGTGAGGTCCGTCAGGAGTCAGTCAGTCAGTCAGTCAGAGCGAGTCAGTCAGTCGAGTCAGAGGCAGAGGCAGTCCGAAACAGAGTCGCATTCAGACAATTACTGCAAGACAGTAATAGAATAGTGCAAGACAGTAATTGGAATAGTGATACTGGTCGAGACTACATTGTTCTCCCTACTAAACCTGATTGTTCGTACTAACACTTTCTACTTCTCAGTATATCTTGTAATATATCTGTCTTTATTCCATATCCGTGCTCGAGTTCTTCTTTATTGGTTCTACCTTGGACCATCACCGTGGTACAAGGACCTGAACCATAACAATCACACTAAGTAATCCCTTGTATGTTAGTGGCTTTACTTCATTGCTTGGAGTAAATTCAAGAACATTTTATGATGCAAATCCTCTTAATCTTGCGATTAGCTTATTTCCCATCGAATGTATCAGCTCTCCTCTCTTCAATCCTGGGATTTCGACCAGC